GGTTTATGTGTGTTTTGCTTCACTGCTTTTTTCTCTTTGAAATGTTTTCTACCCTTCAGTTCTCTAATATCAGTTGGATGCTCCTACTTAACTACACATTGTTTCCATAACTCACTAATGGAATAAGTGTTTTCCGAAACGTTCAATTTGTGTAAATAAAATGTTTTTCATCTTTACAACAGTGTCTGTCTTCATAGATATATTTCGTTTTTCCCTCGTGTATCTATCGACAATGCACTTGTTTTGCTGTAAATGTTAAACTTCAAGTGTAAACAACTTAAATATTTTTGAACATTTTGTAAACTTATTAAAATCATGATATTAAACTAGTCTTTACTTTAAAAAGTTTTCAAACCAACTTTTTCCACTGTACAAAAAAAAGTTCTATAGTATTTCTTTCTCCCTATGTGTATACGACAAGTAAATTTTAAAATTTAATCTTAAGTTAGAAAAACAAGTTACAGGGTGAATTTATGAATTTGTATATATTTGGCGAAATTTATGCATACCTTAATGTTATTATTATTAAACAGATTTAAACTGAAGCATATTAAACTCGTTTCAAAGTAATAATTTCTTTAGTTTAGAAAATCAATAATAAAATTTACGCATATTAAACTCGATTTAAAACAAGAACAACCTACTCAATTCATCAATTTCTAAAACGTTATCTAAAGACGAAAATAATCTTTCTTTTTCCGTCTCTTATAAGTGTACACATAAAACAAAAAGTGTCGTTTCAAAACCTATATTTGATAGTCCAGTATTCCTCAATTCTTATTACTGAAATTGCATCATGTGTTTTTTTTGGATAATATGTTACCTAATATCTGGGTAACAAAAAGTGGGATTTTCTTTAATATAATGAGTAAGTTAGACAATTTTCCAAGAAACAAACACGAAACAAGTGTTTCTGCACGGAAAACCACATTATTTTTCCGTGGTACAATAATCTTGGTTCAAAAAACTCCTAAAATGTGACGTATCCTGCCTTGTTTACAACGTAGGAAAAACCTTGACGTAAAGTGTGTGTGCCATTACTGCTGACTAGCCTTGAATTATTGGAAAATTGCCAAGAATAGTTCAACTACGTTTTGTAACTTTTTATCTATACATTTATTTATGCTATTAAATACACTTTCTTGTTACTTTTTCCTGGGTACGTTATTACTGAATCAATCAAAAATAATTTATCTCACCAACCAATAGGATATATTGTGATGAACTTAAAACAGGTTCATTGCAATAGGTTGTAAAAAAGTAGCTTTGTTGTCACTTGACAAGTACTACTATCGTTCAAAGAATTAGTATAATAAAAAAGTTCATTGTGCCAAACCACAATATTTTTGTTTATAAAATCAACTACACGAGTTATATTTCTAGAAAACCAATAAACACGAAATGACTTACATGAAATTGTGATTTACCAATTTAAGTTTTTAGAACTATAATTCATTTACTGCCAAGAATTTTACGTGCTCTTGGGCAGATATTAAGGTTGAAAAATATGCCTAACTCGTAGCTCTTTATATTTTACAAACAGATGACTATTACCTTTATAAAACTTCTCACACTTCGTTCTTCAGAAACAATTGCTAAAGTTTAATGTTTCTTATAACAGGTTGATTGAAATCCAAACAATTGGGTATCTATTTTCAACATAAATCCCTTTTGCATAAACATTTACTAAAATTATCTATACGGAGGATTCATCATACCGTTGAAATGTTCAAATTTTCATCCAGGAAATGTTTGACTTGAAGCTGTTATGTTGTAGCATATGCATATGTGCAACATTGTTATTCCTGGTACGTCTGCTACGTAATATTTGAATATTTGCACTGTTTGAAATATAGGTCAAATGACAAAGAACATATGATCAGTAAAAGATGGGTGACAAAAAACTATTTAGTAAATTAGCCGCCCCTCACCCACTAAAACAAGTAAACCACATGCCACATCCAAAGACTGTCAGAGTAATGAGGAGTATATTAGGCCTGTCTTTACTCAGAAACGATAAGCACAGCGCCATACGTGATGTTTAAGTTTTCGACACAAAATATAGCATCAGAGCTCTGGGTTCAAAAGTACTAGTGAGGGGGGGTAGCCTTTGTATTTTATCCCTCCCCAAAGATATTCTATTCTTGAAAAAGTGCGGGGAAATGCACCCGTATCCACCGTGAAAATTACGCCTATGTCCAATCCGGATAAATGGAATGCTTTGGAATATTCGTCAATTGAATGAGCAGCAGTTTTGTTGTCCCAGAAGCAATTAATAATTACTTCAGTAATGGTAAGGAAAAGTTAACTTAAGCTAAATGGATGCAAATATGCATAGTTTTTGTATAAATGTGTGTGTACTATATATTTTACATACTCATAATGGTCCCTGGCTCAGTCATTCTTCTAAGTAATGTAACACAAATTTTATATCCCCAATGTTTCAAGATCAATAGTCTGTAACCTCCTACCCTCTTTTTTTTTTTTTTTTTGATGGATCAGTAAGGTTTCCGTGAGCGAGAAGTATTGTACTATGCCACAGAAGTAACTGGATATCAAAGGCTAATAATCATTTGTGTGAGAAACCTTTAAGTTTAGTGTTTTATTTCAATCTGGAGATTTTGTTGAATTCAGGTTTTCAGTTTATATATTATTAAACTCACAAAACAATGTCCATGTTGTGAAAATAAAAGTGTTACTCCTTCACTCTTTCAATATCTGATTTTTTTTTCTCATTTGGTTAAATGTTATTAAGTCAGCTTAAGTATCTTACTTGCCATATTTATCTGGTTTTAATTTACCATTTTTGCTTCAGTATCCCTTTGTTTAATAATAAAACGCGACACTGCATCAGAAATAAAAAATTAACATACGACGTACTGGCTACTATTCAGTGACATAAGTATGCCCCCCGCAGCCCTTACAATTGCGGGGGGGGGGGCAACGTGCCCGACAAACTTAAGAACTGCCGATAAGAGGATTAATTGTAGGGACCCAATTACTTTTTATGTGGAGGAGGCAACTTTTGTAGTTACGTCACTGCTACTATTATAAACCGATACACGACATATAGCGGTAAAATACTAGTGATAGTTGCGTGTGGAAAAAATAGAGCTTCATCAACATTATTAATAATCTATAAACACTGTTTTGTAAATTAACATTTTAGGTGTGAAATGATACTAGGCAAATACTGCCTAGAATCGGTACATACAAAGTGGTCCCTGATCCAAGTACCAAGTATTTATCTCTTCATGAACACTGGATCTACATCAAAATGAAATTTACCAAACGGCTGTTAGACTTTAATCATTGTAAGTGATATTTTGGTGGCTGGAAATAAAGTAACAATTTTGGCTAGGAGTATCGACCGTCACTCTTATAACTCGCTCACAACCCATGGAGCGCGATTTCGTGGATCGTCGGATCCACACTCCACCACGCAAACCACCGAATACGAAATATAAATTAGTCTACTATATATTCAAATATCCGTTCCTTTATATATATATATAT